CATAACCATGTTACTAACTTAACAGCTGCAGTGATTCGTTTACCAACTGTGGCAAGAAAAGTTGTAAAATGGGGCATAATTCACTTAACAAATGTCTTGCTTAGCAACATAAATTTTAGGTTCAACTGTGGTCATAAGTGGAGGACTACCTGTAGAAATAAGAAATATAAAGCTATATTGATGAGCAAGAAAGAGCAGTTGGTTAAGTGGATAGTATCTTTATTAAGATCCATAAAGATTGCAGAAGAGTACAGAAGTGTAAATTGTCCAGACGTTTTCAGTGGTGAAGAGCTTATATAAATTAGGCTAATGTTTTATCCAAGAACTTCAGTTTAAAGTCACTCTTAAGGTAGAGACTCAAGACTGAATGCTATAATCCAGCGGTCCCCAACCTTTTGGGCACAAGGGACCAGTTCCATAGAAAACAATTTTCCCATGGACCGGGAAGGTTGTGCTTTTGCACACTACCTAGATCCCACACATTTGTAGAAGAAACTTCACTAGCTTCTGCAGCCCAATTCCTAACAGGCCACAGACCAGTAATGAGCCATGGACCAGGGATTGGGGATCCCTGCTGTAAGCAATGGAATATTTTGAGAATTTATTGAGGGAAGATTGCCAATATTATATGCAACACACTTGGTCTGCAAAATCTCCTTTTGCCTCTATTGACCAAAGCATTGTAGGGCGAATATGGTAACCATAATCTATTTTTCCTTGTCCATAAATACTAGCTTAACTTGTCTTTGCATGCCTAATGATGTTTTGTATTTTTAATCTGCACATTAAAACAGTAACATATTGAAAGAAGTGTACAACAAATACATATATCACAAGATATTGAACTTACTCTCGATTATCTGCTTTAACCTGAAACATTTTGGAAATGGTTTGTCGTTAAAGTTATGAGCATGATGTACACAGTAGGATATTGCGTTCAGTTGAACATCTTATCAGCAAATTACCCTGCAGTCAATAATAAAACCCCATAAAACTACCAAGAGCCTTGGTAGTACAGTGGTCTAAGGCACCCTGTTATTAAGCTGGTTATTAAGACCAGCTGCCTGCAATTACTGCAGGTTCGAATCTCACCAAGGCTCAAGGTTGACTCAGCCTTCCATCCTTTCTAAATTGAGGACCCAGTTGTGGGGGCAATAAGCTGACTTTGTATAAATATACAAAAGAATGAAGGCTATTGCTTAGCGCATTGTAAGCCGCCCTGAGTCTCCTGAGAAGGGCGGCATATAAATCAAAATTAAAAAAATAAATAAAAAAAAATAAAAAAATATGTGGGTTGATCAGAATTAGATTGTTTTTAATTAATTTATAGTTTTGATTCCGATTTTTATACTTACCATTTTTATTAAGAAAATAACCAGTGTTGCTCACAGGAGTAACACACCAGGACTTATCTTTTTAGAAGCAATAGCAATGATATTATCTGGCATCCTTTCAAGTTTCTGTTTACTCTTCAAAGTGTTGATATACTGGGTAGATGTATTTTCCTAGCAACAATATATTATTTTGAGCTATACTAGTTATTAAATGTTTTGGTTTGAGTTAGTCTTGGAGAGGTAGATTACCACTACAGTTGAGACTATTGCATAAATAAATTCCTAGCCCGATTTTCACGCCTACGCCTAATATAAACCCTACCCAAAAAAAAGCCCTACTTAAGCCCTGCCCGCTGTCTGGTTATACCGGGTGAACCGAGGAGCATGCGTAAAGCTCAAGCTAGGCTGGTGGAGGTGGGTGGAATTGCCCCATGTGCCTTTCACCCTCTTATCTTAGGACCGCCGCAGCCAGGCCTCCTATGCCCCAACACCTGTCACCCTGCTGTCTGACTTCTGCAGCCACTTGCGGCTGGATACCACATGGTGCATCGTGCCAATGCTGCTGCTTGTGGCAGGAGGCCGTGTGGTGCTTTGTGCTGGTGCCACCACTCGCACATTCCGCAAGGTTTGTCGCACCGGTGTTGCCACATGTGGCAGGATGCCATGTGGTATGTTGCACCAGTCATGCACGGAACAGCACAATATGCCATGCAGACTCCTGCCATGAGTGGTGACACCAGCACAGCATGCCATGTGGCATTTGGCCGCAAGCATCCGCAAGCATCCACAAGAAGAAGTCAGGCAGCAGCGTGACAGATGTTGGGGTGTGGGAGGCCTGGTTGTGGGGGTCCTAAGTAAGTGGGTCCTAAGTAAGCTGGTAAGACATCCCCCAAAAATAAGACCTGGTGCTTATTTTGGGGCCCAAAAGAAAATAAGACTGAGTCTAATTTTTGGAGAAATACAGTATTACGGGTGAAATAATATAATTATGGGACAGCCAATTCCTTATCTGTACAATGAGTCACACAAGAACATTTCCAGGCTACTGATTTACATAAAAAATAACTAAATGGAACTAAATAAATAAATGAAATCTTTTGCAATCTTTGCCCACTCAACCTTTTTGCCCTATTCCCAGAGACAATCACACAAGTCCTTTCTTCTAGTACTACTCATTTACTTACATTTTTAATCCAGCCTAATAGCTAGAGTTCTCTTACATGTTAGGAGTATGAGTTTTTCTATCAATACATGATATGAATTAAATGGAAGACCCAGGATCCTGCAGTAAAACTGAACAGGTATCAATAGTGTTTGTTTCAATTTTAACCCATGCAACAACCACACTCTCTCTTCTGTGTTATGTGTGTTTCTGTTCACAAGCATTGCCTTACAAATTCTAGCACTTGGGGGTTCTTCCAATGAAACCCATTAGTAAGAGAATCACAACAGAAGAAACTAATATGCTCTGAATTGCTGAAAAGCTTTGGTAGACAGAAATGCATGATTATTCTGAATTAGTGGTGGGATTCAAATAATTTAACAACCAGTTCTCTGCCCTAATTACTAGCTGGGTGGGTGTGGGCATGGCCAGGGGATGTGACACCTGCACCCCCCTGGGAGCAAAAACAATACTCCTACACTTACCTGGGAGCCAAAATGGAGACACCTGGAAGGGCTGGACAGGAAGAGGTGGGGCTAGCCAGTAATTTAATTACTGGTTTGCCCGAACTGGCCCGAACTGGCTGAATCCCACCATTGATCCTGATATGCTATTTAGGCCCTTCCTCCTGTTATCTTGTTGATTGTTACGAGGATAGAAAAATGGACTAGGTTTGCCTTTGATCTTCCAATCTTTTATGTATATGATTGATCTCTATCTGACAAAATGGCCCCAAGCCCTTAAGGTATGCCATGAATTGTTAATATCCTAGAGGCATCTGTTGGTTGAGCATCTTATATCCTTTGAAATTCTTATGCAAGTTTTTCATCCTGAAAGTTTTCTTATAGGAATATTGCCCATCAGATAAAGTAGTTCACACAGTGGCCAAAGAGCTAAATTTAAAACCAGGATGTCAATATTTAAAGCTTTCCTGCATTCAGCAGAAGGGAACCAAGAATTCCACAGCTTTCCTGCATTCCTGCCACAGTATGGAGTGCAACCTGCTCAGAGGAAAGAGGATAGTCTTTAGTCATTTGCTTTGTTTGGTGATAGAAGGAGAGCCAGGTCAATGCGCCCTGGGTTTTATTCTTGTTAAAAGTAACTAAAGAAAACGGTCTGATGGCATTGACATGCAGAGCTCCTTAGAGCTGTAAATCAACCTCTTAATGATATGCATGCTATTTTCACAATGATTACATCAGCAGACCTTGGGGTCAACTTCTGAGTCATCAGAAATTATCTCAATTGGTCTTCACTAGAAAAAAAAACCCCAATGGAACTAAGTGGGTCATACATAAAGGAGGCTATTGATTGCATCAGAAAATAAGTTGGCAGTCACTGCAAATAAATTATTCTCAAGTTTATCAAGAATATTTAAGTTACTCTTTCAGAGACTATCCAGTCACATGTGCTTAGGTTTCACTAGGGTACTCTTTAAAATTTCCCCATAGGTCTCCATGAATGAAGAAGAGTGTGTGTGGGGGGGGGGAGTGCATGTGTATCTTCTTCTTCTTGTTGTGCTATATCCATCATCGGATGTTGGCGATCATGTTGGTGATCCTATTTTTATCAACAGCCGCACAAAAAAGTGCTGCTGAGTTTTGTCCAAACCAGTCCCTTAGATTTTGAAGCTATGATCTTCTTCTTCTGTCTGGACCTCGTTTGCCTTCAATCTTTCCCTGGAGGATTAAATGAAGTATGGTGTATTTTTCCGGATATGTTGTATCACATATCCAAAATATTCTAACTTTTGCTTTTTTTATGGGTTTGATGATTTTCCTTGGCTTTCCCAGGCAGCTTATCACCTCCTCATTTCTGATTTTGTCAACCCAGCTTATACGTAACAGCCGTCTGTAAATCCACATGCATGGGTATATGCCCATGAAATAAAAGTTGGCAAGTAAATAATGGTAAATAAACCAAATTGTACACTTTTTTTTCCTTTTGCCGAAAAGATAAAAATGGCTAAATGGTATTTCTTGTTGCAAAATGTATGTACAGGTAGTCCTCAACTTACGACAATTGAGCCCAAAATTTCTGTTGCTAAGCGAAACATTTGTTTAAGTGAGTTTGCCTCATTTTATGACTTTTCTTGCCACAGTTGTTAAGGGAATCACTGTAGTTGTCAAATTAGTCAAACTGTTGTTAAGTGAATCTGGCTTCCCCATTGACTTTGCTTGTCAGAAGGTTGCAAAAGGGGATCGTGTGACCTTGGGACACTGCAACTGTCATAAATATGAGTCAATTGCCAAGCGTCTAAATTTGGATCAGAGGACCATGGGGGATGCCACAACGGTCGTAAGGATGAAAACTGGTCATAAGTCACTTTTTTTCTAGTGTGGTTGTAACTCTAAAAGTCACTAAATGAACTATTGTAAGTCAAGGACTAACTGTATATGTGCACATACTGTAGACTGATTAACATCATAGAGCAATTCTTCCTAAATTTGTCTTCCAGGTATGTTTGACTGTTCTTCCAGGATTGGAATGGCACAACATATCCAGAAGGCAAGAGTTTGGAGAAGACTGCATAGACATCTGCCGGAAGTCATAATGCCATCACACATTCCATGATGCACATTATATGACTTACCTGGGCCCAAAACCAGAGGTGGGTTTCAGCAGGTTCTGACCAGTTCTGGAGAACCGGTAGCGGAAATTTTGATTAGTTCGGAGAACCGGTAGTAAAAATTCTGATTGGCCCTGCCCCCATCTATTCTATGCCTCCCAAGTCCCAGCTGATCGGGAGGAAATGGGGATTTTGCAGTAACCTTCCCCTGGAGTGGGGTGGGAATGGAGATTTTACAGTATCTTTCCCCTGCCACGCCCACAAAGCCATGCCACGCCCACAAAGCCACACCCACAGAACCGGTAGTAAAAAAATTTGAAACCCACCACTGCCCAAAACCCACATCTCCTTTTCACAGTTTTGTAAAAGAATAGAATTGGGATAGGGAACCTAGCTAGGCCCTCCAGATGTCACTAAACTAAAACTTGAAAAGTCAAAACAGGGATGGTCAATTATAAGAAATATTTGGTTGTATTTCAATAATATCAAGAGGACCACTAGTCTCCGTTCCTGGAATAAGTTAAGAGTATAGATCCGTGATGGCGAATTTATGGCACAGGTGGCACACATAGGCCTCCTTGCCCCAACTGAGCTGTATATACATCCAACAAGAACAGAGGGGGGGGGGTCTCACAGGAGAGATAGGTAAATCCTAGAGAGGCAGGAAATGCATCACTGAACAATGGAGATGAATGCTAGAGAGGAATAAAGCTGCATACAAGGCAGACATAACACCTGTAACAGTGTAGGCATGCCACACGCCCCCCTCCCGCCCCCAGATTTTGGTCCCGGGAGGCTTCAGGGAGGCCTGCTAGGCCCAAAACAGGGTGTGTGGGGGGGTTGCACATGCATGGGTGGGGGACAAGGGGAGCTTGCAGCGCGGGTGTCACGCACATGCGTGACATTGTGTTGTGCATGCACTGTATTATGAGGGTGGGCACACACACATGCGCTGTCGTGCGCGCACACCCACTTTCAACACACAAGGACAAAGAGGTTAGCCATCACTGGTGTAGATTATGGATCCCACTCTATCTAAAGTTTCATTTGAACCTAATATTTTTATTTAGGCTCATTTTGCAGGTAAGGCGATAAATGTTAGGACCTTGGGAATACTGAACTACAGTATAGCTCTTGTAAATGCTCCTTTTTTTTTCCACTTAAGAAAAGAATAACAGATGAGGGAATGGGGAATTACTGTGTTATCAAGATAAGGAAATATCTGCTATCAGATAATATTATGTCAATATTGTATGACATGTGCTACTCAATTTGCATCAGCTATATGGTACCAGATAATCTATGCAAACTTTATGATGGTATTTCTGAGGCATGGCTCTTTGAAAGGTCAAAACCTGCCCATCCAGAATGGCAAGTTCAAATTTCTTACTTTTTTTTTCTTTTTTGATTTGGAAAAAGGAAAATAACTGAGTAGCCCAAACCTTGCTTGCCCTAAATGTCTACATAATGTTCCATGATATGAAGGAAAAATTGTCTGTAAATATCTACTTCTTCTCTACGATTTTTGACAAATACAAGAATTCTAAAGTAGGACACACAGAAATGGTTTGAGCTGATACATTTGTGGGTTATTTCACAAATTGTTTCCATGGTGGTTTTGGCCACTGACAAGCATTCATAGTATTTGAAGGCAAGTTTATCTGAATGTTAATTAATTTTATTTATTTATTAGACTTGTATTACCTCATAAGTAATTCAAGAGAGCGAACATACATAATAATCCTTTCTCCTGCTTTTCCCACTGCACTGTGAGGTGAGTCATGCTGTCTACCAACCCAAGACACTGCTTATCTTTTCCAAGATTACTATTATCAGAAGTTACCATTGTGCTGAAGGAATGATTTATTTATTTATTTTTCACAGGGGAGGAATGCTGGGCAGTGTGCAATAAAATATTAAAATAGAAAAACAGCATATTAACATTAATTTTTTTTGGAAATTTAGAACCAGCAGGGGGTTCTTAAGTAGGGGGCACACTAGTGTCTCTTTAAAAGGAGCCCGCTATGCATCCTCCAACAAGGATGAATTCATCATCACTTGAACCCACCTACATGATGTCCCTCCCAGGCAGCTTTAACCAGCCAGGAGGGGCATGGATCTAATGCACAGGTGGCGGCATTTACATTCCGTAGGACCCTATCAGTTTCCTTAGATCCAACAGAATCAAACTGTTTCCAGATAATTCAATAAGGCTGTTCCCAGGGAATCTGATGGTTAGTCCCAAGTCCCTAGAGAACCAACAATTTCCAACCTTCCTTGGTGATTTCCCTAAAAAGTCAATGAGGAAGCCAGCAGAAATTGCTGTAAATTGCTGGATTAATTTTCCCTACCTGCACACCCTCACACAGCACTTTTGTGCCTGAGCTGTGCCAGCCACTCACACACCCCTACCCACTCTCCTTGACCCTCCTCTGTTGCATCCTTACACACCCGCCCACAGCCCTGCATACCGTTCCTGACCTGTGCTGCACCGTTGCACACCTTCCTTCACACCTCTGTGCACTCTCCAAACCAAGCTTTGTTTCTCGCATGTCCCTTTGCACCCTTGTGCATCCTCTCTCACACCCTTGTATACGCTCTCTGACCTTTCCTATAGCTCTGTGCACCCCGTCGCTTCCTCCCCACTCAGCAGCAGGCCCTTACCTGCTTGCTGGCTTGGGACTTGCAACTTCCTGAAAGCTTCCCCACTGACTTTGATTGTGGGAAGTCAGCAGGAAGCTGCCTTACCTAACGACCAGGGAATTGCTTTGCTAAATGATGCAGTTGTGCTTTATAACCACATCCTTTGGTGAGGGATATTCTGAACTCAATTGCCATTAAGGGCTACTTATATTTTTAAAGCAATCACTAAACAAATAACCCATCTTTTTTATTTTTAAGACTACTTAGCAGCTATTTATTTATTTATTTATTTATTTATTTATTTATTTATTTATTTATTTATTTATTTGTGTAATTTATATGCCGCCCTTCTCCCGTAGGACTTAGGGCAGCTTACAAAATGAAACAAAGAATTACATAAACAATTTAAAATCAGTTTAAAGTTAAATTAAAATCAATTAAAAATTATTAAAATTATTTGCAATCACCCCTACGGATTCAGCCCATTTGGTGAAAAAGCCACGTCTTCAATTCGCAGCAGAAGGAGAGGAGGTCCGGGGCTGTCCTGTCCCATTCCAGAGGGTCGGCGCTCCCACAGAGAACGCTCTCCCCCTGGGGGCCGCCAGCCGACATTGTCTGGCTGACGGCACCCTGAGGAGGCCCGCTCTGTGTGAGCGCACCGGACGGTGGGAGGAAAGCAGGAGATGATCCTGCAGATACCCCGGGCCTAAGCCATGTAGGGCTTTATAGCACCAGCACCTTGAAACGAACCCGGAGAGCCACTGGCAGCCAATGCAGCTCGCGCAGGAGAGGTGTCACACGGGAGTACCAAGAAGGCCCTGTAACAACCCGCGCGGCCGCATTCTGGACTAACTGTAGTCTGCGGGTGCATCCCAAGGGCAGCCCCATGTAGAGGGCGTTACAGTAGTCCAACTGAGACGTAACAAGGGCATGAGTGACTGTGGCAAGGGCATCCCAATCTAGGAAAGGGCACAACTGGCACATAAGGCATACCTGTGCGAAGGCCCCCCTGGTCACGGCCATCAAATGATCTTCTTTAATAAAGATCACACAGGTATTCCTCACTTAACAATAATTAGGACTGGATTTCCCATTGCTAAGCAATGCATGGCCTTAGAACATCAATCCCCATTGCAGTAGTGAAATTCAAATTTTTTTACTACCGGTTCTATGGGCGTGGTGCGGTGTGGCTTGGTGGGCATGGCAGGACAAGGATACTGCAAAATCCCCATTCCGTCCCCAATCCTGGGGGAAGGATATTGTAAAAACTCCATTCCCACCCCACTCCGGAGCCAGCCAGAGGCAGTATTTGCTGGTTTTCCGAATTGCTCAAAATTTCCGTTACCGGTTCTCCAGAACCTGTCAGAACCTGATGAATTTCACCTCTGCCCCATTGCTGTCATTAAGCAAGGATTGCAGATTGTTAAATGAGTGTGGCAGGGCCAAGGATGGCTGGGTGAGGGAAGATGTGAAGGCATCTGCTGTGGGCAGGGAGGTGCTGCTTGTGTGCACATGCACTACAGGTAGCCCTCAACATACAACCACAATTGAGCCAAAAATATAAGTTGCTAAGTGAGAAATTTGTTAAATGAGCTTTGCTGCATTTTACACCTTTTCTTGCCACGTTTGTTAACTGAATCACTGTAGTTGTTAAATTAGTAAAATGGTTGTTAAGTGAATCTGGTTTCCCCATTTGGTTGCAGTAGGAGCCTGGATAGCTCTGCAGACTAAGCACTGTAATTTAACACCAGCTGTCTGCAATTAAAGTAAGTTCAAATCTTGCCAGGCTCAATGTTGACTCAGCCTTCCATCCTTTCTAAGGTAGGTAAATTGAGGACCCAGTTTGTGGGGGCAATAAGCTGACTTTGTATAAAATATACAAAAGTATGAAAGCTATTGCTTAACGCACTGTAAGCCGCCCTGAGTCTCCGGAGAAGGGCGGCATATAAATCAAATTTATATTTGGGACACTGCAACCATCATAAATGTGAGTCAGTTGCCAAACATCTAAATATAAATCACATGACCATGGGGATGCTGAAAATGGTTGTAAAGTGTGAAAAATGGCCATACGTCACTTCAGTGGCATTGTAACTTAAAATGGTCATTAAGTGAACTGTTGTAAGTCGAGCACTACCTGTACAGAATACAAGGTCCTTGGGGTCTTGTACTTTGTAGCTGCACTCCGCAGAAGAAAAAATAGTGGGAATCCAAGCAACTTACAGAAGCAACTTTCAACCTACCCTGCTGGCTTCTCCATTGGCTTTACTTGTGGGAAGTTGGCAGAGAAGGCTGCAAATGGCAATCACATGATCGTGGGACACCACAACTATTGTAAGTATAAGCTAGTTGCAAGCACCCAAATTGTGATCAAGTTGCCACAAGAATGCTGGAATGGC